GGGAGGGAGGGGAAAAATGAGGACCTAATGTCGGGGGTTTAAATGGAGAGAAAATGTTTTGAGAAACAATGTACAAATGAGCTTTACACAATTGGTGTGTGTATGGATTGGGATAACAGTTGTATGAGCCCCTAATAAAATGTTAAAAAAAAAAAGAAACAAATTCATTGACATATATGTGTACCAGAGAACTTTATATCAAGTCAAATCCCAGTCCAGTCCAGATCAAGTCCATAATTAGCCCATGAATTCCTCTTCTGAGTCCCACAGCCCAGGCAACAATGCCAAATGCAGAAAGATCACAGGCTGGCGGCTAGAAAGTCCTGTGGATCCAATGGCAGTGGACGAATCTCCAGGGCTCTGGCTGCCATCAGCGTGGCTTCCTGTGACTTGTCTACTGGAATGTGAAGCAGAGAGAGAGTCCTACCTCTTCTGATGGCAGAATCAAGAGAAGTTCCCAGAATCCTCATGAGAAGGCCACACCCAGAAGGAGGGATCTCCACCCCTTCGTTCTTTTTTATCAAGTTGACATGAAATGGTGGAACTACCACAGGTATGTGCTGTGCTCCCATCTGTCATGAGGACTTGGGCAGACATCAGTCACATTTTCTAGATGGAAGGTGACAGCTCACTGCAGAGGGGCTAAGAGAAGCAGGAGCTGTGTGGGTTCTCAAATCTTCATCCTGCCACTCCCAGCTGTGTGGTTATGGGTAAGCCACTTAACCTCTCTGGGCTTCTGCAAAGAACCTACCTCTTAGTGTTGTCATGAAGAGTCAAACGTTAACCATCTGTAAAGCTGTCAGAATGATTTTTGAAGAATTTGTAGCTTGGTGATTCCCTCCCCACCCCCATACTAGATGAGGCCCACAGCTGTGTCCCTGGCTGATTTCTGGCTGCCCCGAAAACATGGGAAGACCTGGGAATATGAGCCCACCGGGTATCTATACATCAGCTCCAGCCTCATGCCAGCTGTCCTGTCGTCTACTCTCACATCAGGGACTAGAACAGGGTAGTACTGTCCCCGTGGGTTTCCGAGACTAACTTCACAGGAGTAGAAAGCCCCGTCTTCTGCAGAGAAGCTGGTAGTTAGCAGCCAACACGTAACCGCCCTCTCCTGCAGTTCTAATTCGTGGTTATGGGCCCTCTGGCCCTGGTGGACATATGAGTTTCATATTTCCGTTACTGAAGCTGGCATAGACGTCTAGGCAAGACAAGGGAGTCTCACCGTGAAGGACACGGTGACCAATTCGCCAATAAGCGCGGTAAGCACAGCATGACTTAGGCTTACTATAGTGAGCCTGTCTCACTTTTCCCATACTAAATACGGTTGGCATCTGCCGCGCACCCTACAGAACCTTCCTTACTGAAGCAAAGCCTGCTTTCAAATTCGTATTTCCGGAGGGGAATCCAGCGCCCCCGGTGAACAGGTCTGCAGACACCCGGGGGCGGGGGCGCAGCATGGGGACACGAGGTGCGAGGGATATTGAGGATGGGAGGCCGACGGGCGCCCGGCGAAGGCAGACGTCACGGTGCACACGCGTGGGACACGCGCGAAGCCGGCTCCTCCGCTCCTCTGGGCCTCGGTGGCCCAGCGGCCTTCCGGGCTGGACCAGGGCAGAACCTGGCGCCCAGAACTCAGGGCCGCAGGGCTTCGCCTTCCCGCCGGAGCGCGTCCGGGACGGACCGTCTTCCGGCGCACCGACCCCGGCTGGAAACCAGCCCGCCGCCGCTCTCTCCCACGGAGGCGTGTCTGTCTGGCCCGATGGGCGGCTGAGTAGGTGAGAGAGCTGCCCCGGGGACTCTCCGAGGCAGCTGGGCCTTCGGAAGGCGCGGGGTGGAGGGCAGGAGCGCGCGGGGAAGGACTCTAGCAAAGTCCTCACTCCCCGCGGCCGAGTCCACGGCCACCGAGTCGGGTGCGCAGGCGCGGAGTTCCTGGGTGGGGGCGATCCCTTAAAGGGGCCGCAACCCAGAAGCCGGGAAGCAGGCGAAGAACCCGGGTTCTCCAAGGGCGGGCTAGGGATGGGCGGTGGAGGATACTGGGTTGAGTGCTGAGATACTCCGAGTGTCAAAGTCCGCCCTTGGAGCCTCTGGTTCAGCGCGTTTCTCCGCTTCTCCAGCCCGAGGCGCTATGGCTCCTGTCGGCTCTCGGAAGCGCTCTAGGAGTCGCAGCCGGTCCCGGGGGCGAGGGACGGGGAAAAGGAAGAAGAAAAGCAGCAAGCACGCCTCGAAGAGCCGCTCGCCTTCTAGATCCCAAAGCCGCAAGGCCCGCGCCGCCTCCGGGGCCGAGGGTGAGGACCAGAGGAGCAGGAAGGGGTCTCTGGGGGAAATGCTGGTCTGGCCGTGGCCCTTAGGGACCTAGGTGAAGGGAGCACGGTTTGTGCAGGTGGGCCCGAGGCGGGGGTGCAGGCAGCCCTGCTCCTCTGGAGAACGCTGCCAGAGGCGATCAGCCCCGGGTAGTCAGCCAAGCCTGCTCGGGTTCGGGACCTGCGCCAGGGGACAAGGTTTACAACCTCCCCTCCCTGCATCACAGAGAGAAGCAAGCACAAGGCCCGGAGGAGACCGAGGTCCACTTCCTCCTCCTCTTCTTCCAGTTCCTCCAGTTCCTCCTCCTCCTCCGCTTCCTCCTCCTCCTCATCCAGCGATGGCCGGAAGAGGCGTAGGAAGCACAAGGACAAGAAGCGGAAGAAGAAGAAGAAAAGGAAGAAGAAGCTGAAGAAAAAGGACAAGGAGAGGGCCCAGCTGCAGCAGGCTGAGGCCCTGCCCGGGCCCTCGCTGGACCAGTGGCACCGAGGAGCCACAGCAGAAGAGGATGGCCCAGGTACCTTGCCACTTAGCATGGGACAGGGCTCCCACCTCAAGGAAGGCCTGTGGATCACCACCCTGATCGCCCTCCCTCTCTCCCCTGCAGTCCTGACTGACGAGCAGAAGTCCCGAGTCCAGGCCATGAAGCCCATGACCAAGGAGGAGTGGGATGCCCGGCAGAGCGTCATCCGAAAAGTGGTGGACCCCGAGACGGGACGCACCAGGTGGAGTTGCTGGGTGCAGTGCATATCCCTGCCAATGCCTCGGGGAGTGATGGCCCAAGACGTGCCATTCAGCAGGGGGCTCGGGCCTGCCTTTGCGCAGCAGTCGACGCCCTGTAAGGGCCCCAAGGAAGCAGAGTGGTGGCAAAGGCTGGTCAGGCACAGCCTTGCCCAGTTGCCTCTATCCCCTACCCAGGGGTGGGGGCAGGAGACGGGGTGTGAGTACCCAGGCTCCGCCTGTTCAAGATGGTAGGACTTGGACTCTGGGAGCCCCTCTGCTTCCGTGGCCTTTGAAGCTCATGGACCCCACCCCTCCCACCACCCAGGCTCATTAAGGGAGACGGCGAGGTCTTGGAGGAAATCGTAACCAAAGAACGACACAGAGAGATCAACAAGGTTGGTATCACCCCATCGCCCATGACCCATCTGAGGGCTGTGTCTCACGGTACTCCCCCTCCCGCCCCCATGTGCTTCTCCTCCAGCAAGCCACCCGAGGGGATGGCCTGGCCTTCCAGATGCGAGCTGGGCTGCTGCCGTGAGGCCCCAGCTGGCTAAGGCTGGAAGGCCAGCCGCAGGGTGGCCAGTAGGACATCCAGTGGGTGCCTTGCACCCTTCCTCCTGCGGTGGCCTCTTGCGCAGGTCACTGCCTGGCCGTTACCTCCCCCGATCTGGAAGAGCCCCTGGTTCCCAATATTAAACTTGCCTTGGTTCCAGACTTTGTTCTGTTACTTTCCGTGCTGGGGGTGGGGTGGGGTGGGGATGGGGTGGAGGGAGGCGGGGCTGCTCCACTTCAGGGGAAAAACCTAGGGCTCCGGTATGTTAAGGGAGCTGGTGTGCCCCCTGATAGTGGTGAGTCAAAAACACAGGCCAGAGTGGTCACCTTCACCCCTCATCCTTGCGTTAGCCAGCTTGGTTCAGACCCCAGGTTTGGCAAATTCTGGAGCCAGGGAGGAGGCCTGCCCTTCCTACTGTGTGTTCCACAGGTAACAGCCGTGAAGAGCCCAGGCCGGTTGGGCAATCCTGGCCCCACACTTCCCAGTTGTGCCCCATTAAGATCCATCCATCTGCTGGGAGGCTGAGGCCAAGCCTCCTGTCAGTTTATTGGCACTATTGTGGGTGTGGCTGGGAAGGCATTCCCTCAGGCCATGGCCTCACCCATGCTCTGTGGCCGCACACTCAGTAAAGAGACCCAGAAGGAAGCCTTCCTGCTTCTTTAATTGGTGTAACAGACTATGACAACACAGCACACGCAGGCCTGATGATACAAGGACAGCGCGGGTGGGCGGGATGAGGCAAGACACGGCTCACACACTGGCCCAGATACAGACGGGACAGGGACAGAGGTGGGGAGGTGTGATGTGCTGACGAGCCAGGAGGGGGGGTGGGGCCTCTGCTGAATGAAATCGTAGTGAAGGCAGGTGGTGGGGTCCTGGAGAGGGGGGTGCGGGGAGGGCTAAGGCTTACTGTACAGGCCTGGGGCTGGCAGTCAGCAGAGGCCCGCCTCACCCTTTGGTTATGACTGGTCAGGCCTGAGCACAGCAGCTCAGTACCTAACGCTGTAAACATTTTTGGTATTTTGTGGAGGGCCAGGCTGCCCTCCCTTGGTTTCTGAAAAGACTGGCGCTTGCTCCCAAGGAGGCTGCGCCTCAGGGACTGGGAGGCGAGAAGCCGGCCTGGGTCCAGAAGAGAGTGGCGGTGGCGTGGGGTGCTGCCCAGCTCTGGCTGAGGGAGAGGCCAGGGGACTATTGCTGTGGTCCTTGACATGGCTGGCAGGCAGGCAGGCCCAGAGCAGTGGGGGGAGGCCACTGTCCCTGGGGCCAGGCCAACCCCTGACCCCTCGGCCTCCTTGCGCCAGGAGCCTCCAGGCCTTTATTGTAGGCGGCCCGGGACTCTTCCAGGCGCTTCTCCAGATGGCTAGTCACCTAGGCAGGAGGCAAGATGGGGTGACATGGGACCGATAGGGGAGGCAGTGGCCACAAGAGGCCCCTGGTGGGGCTGATTGTCGGGCCGAGCCAGTCCCGCAGGGGGTAGGGGGTCCGGATATTGCACTTTGGCTGCAACAGTGACATTAAAACTTGGTCCATAACATAATCGTTGCTTTTATACGCGACGCCCGAGACAACAACACAAAGCTGCATCTTAAATATGAATAAACCCTGAAGGCTCCGTCCCTCCAGACTTTTTTTCTGCACAAAATAAATAGCTTCCACTCTGTTGAGACCCACTTGGGCAAAACATTTACACCCCACTCTGGCTGTACATATCTACACACAGGAAAACGGCACCACCTCCATGGGGGCCCCTCGCTGCTCTCAGCTGGCTGAAGCCAGGCACCCCTGCACAGGCGCCATAGGAGAAGCGGTGGAGGGAGGCTCGGCCCTGTGAACTGAGCAGGGTCCTTGTTCTAGTGGAGCCTAGGATGATGGCCCCTCAATAAGCTAAGGAAGCGAGTTGTGGCTTCTTAGATTCGGCATCAAAACGGAATTGGCATTAAAAGAAAAAAACTAAAATGTGTGCCCCCGCCCCACCCCCACCCTAGTAGAAATTCAGTGGAATTCAGGGGAGGTCGGGAGTCAAGCCCCCAATGCCGGCCGGGCCCACCCACCGGGCCAGGGAACCCCCAAGCCCGCCGACCGGCTCAGTCACAGTGCTAGGTGTTCTCACGGGGAGGGCTGCACTCAGTACGGAAAGAGTTAAGAAAAGGAAGCAGCCAAGGTTTGCTTGTTTAAAAAAACCTCATAGAAATCAGATCTGAGAAGTAGAAAGGCGTAGAAACGCGGGTAGGGGCGCGGCGTGGGGCCTTGGCAGACGCGGGCTCGGTGTGGTGAGGCTGCGTGGGCACCAGCTCCGGCCTCCGGCCTGCTGCCTGCAGCGCCAGCTGGGGTCATGCAGGTCCGGGCGCGGGTGCAAGTCTACGCGGAACCCGTGCGGTGGCCCGAAGGGTACCGAGGGGATGGGCGGCAGCCCCCCACGGTCCATGCAGAGTGTGCGTCTCTGTGGCCACGCAGCGCCTCCTATCCTAGGATTGGATACGGATCGCGGCCCCCAGGCGCTTTCCCTGGCGACGGCTGGGGCCTCCAGGCTGGAAGGCGCCTGGCCTAGCACCATGGAGACGCGCTGCGGACGGACCCTTACTTGGGGCCAGTCGGCGCACTTGGCTCCAGCCGCCCGGTAACGGCGCGGCCCCAGCAGCCGGCGGCCACGCTGAGACTGCGCTGGCCGCGCAGCTCGCGCTCACCGTCCGCCTGGCCCTGCGTCCGCTCGTGCCGGAGGCCGGCGCCTCCCGGCTGCGCCGAGATGGTGCGCAGCAGGTGGTTGCGCGAGCGCAAGAAGTCCCCCGGGCCTGGCAGGCCGAAGCTGCCCTTACGCAGTGCCATGCGCGTGGCCGCGTTGCGGGCCGGCCTAGCCCGGTGGCTGTACTTGAGCTGTGCCAGGTGGGCAGCGTAGCCGTCTGTGATGAACTGCGGGGGGTGGGGGTGAAGGGCGGGGGGAGGAGACAAGGGCAGGGCATCAGGAGCGCTGGCCAGAGACCCTCCCGCTCAGGCCACCTGAGTACCGGTCTCCCTCACCCGGCCACACCTGGCACTGGTGCTGCAGCTTCTTGGTGGGGCGCCCCACGATGTAGATCTGCAGGGGCGACAGGCTGATGGCACTGTAGACCGCCACGTCCTTGGTGGAGCCGTAGGCCGCGTGTGCGCGCAGATGCAACTGTGGGCGAGAGCGCGTGGGCTGTTCGGCTGCATGCCCCGGGCCGCCCCTCCGCTCCCCTTACCCACCTCGGAGATGAGCAGCTTCAGGAAGTTGGCCTTGTGCCGCAGTGGGTCGTGCACCAGGCCGTCACAGAAGGACACCACACCGTGGGGAAAGTTGTGCTGGGCCAGCCAGGCCACCACCCGCTGCTTCTGCATGTCCGGCCGGCCCGTCACATAGATGATGAGGTAGCCCAGGTCCTGCCAGTGCCTGCCGGAGGCATGCCAGTCCCACATCAGTCCCATGTCCCGGCCCTGCCTGGTACCCACTAGGGGCACAGAGGCTGTGGCTCTAGGCAGGCTCAGCAGATGGTGGCCAGGGATGGGGGTCCGCTGTTCTGGAAGCGCTTAGCCTGCTTACAGCCTGTGCAGTGGTGTGACCTTGGGCGGGACACCAAGTGTTTCATTCACTAGCATAGATGCAGAGCTAGCTGCTGACTGGCTTCCAGCCCCAGGGGCCCCCTGCTGTTTCCGGCAAAGTCCCACCACTCAGCCAGGGCCCCACCACCTTACTGGAACCAGTGCCAACTCACCGCACCACGTCCACGGCCCCGGCCCGCACCTTGGGGTCACTGCCCATGATGGACACGCTGGCGGCAAAGGAGCCATCGATGCTGAAGACAACAAACTCCGTGCCCTTGGGCAGCACGGTGATGTAACTATCGGCAAACGTGTGGTCCCCCCTGAGGGGGGGTGTCGGTCAGGGTCACTGGACCTTGCTGGCCACCCTGCCTGCCCACCCCGCATGCTACCCACCCATAGGCCCCTGACTATCTTGATAGAGTAAGATGTCCACAATCGGTGTTCTGCCTCCTGCCCCCACAGCCACTGTCCCTGCCTGCCCAGAGTGATGCCCACTGCTGGTACCTGACCACCATCTTGATGGGGTAGATGCCCACACCCAGACGGTGGGTTTCGGGGAGGGTGTAGGAGACACGCCCACTGCTATTGGTCACCAACGTGTCCAGGTAGAGCCACTCGCCCGAGGGCGGCTGCGTCATGATGTGCACGTCCACCTGGGCCCAGGCACACTGTATCATCAGCTGCCCAGGCCCCCAGCTGCCCTGGTCCCTGCCAGCCACATCCCAATCAGAGGTGTCCCTGTCCTTACCTTCTCCCCAGTCAGGGTGACCATGTCCAGGGGTCCGTACATGAACCGGCCAGTCAGGACCTGGGGGCCATCCTCGTTGGCCACTGCGTCACTGATCCGGTGATTGGCTGTCACGTTCTGGGGGAGGAGAAGCAAAGCTGGGGCAGGACAGCTCGCAAAGGGGGCTGGGGACACCCGGGCCCTGCTAAGCTGGCTAAGAGGATGGACGGTCACCTTGTTCCCCATCTGTGAAGTCGGGGGGACTACAGCCCCACAGACTCAGGGGCATAAAATCACCCAATATGCTTCTCTGAGCCTCAGTTTCCTCCTTTGGGCCATGGGGTACTTTAGTGGCCATCCCCACAGGGCACCTAGGGCCCCTCACCCGCAGCTTCACGTGGGTCCTCTTGCGTTGCCACTTCTCCCGAGGCTTGGAGGGAGTAAACACTGACACCTCCTTGCCGTCCAGCTCCAAGATGCTGGAATTGTCATGCCTCATGACCTGGAGGGGGACCAGACAGCTAGGGTCAGGCCTGCCCTCTGCAGGCATGCCTAGGCTTTCCGGGCCAGACGGCCCTGCCCTGACCCTCACAGTCCGGTCCCTGGAGAGCCCGTGCACCTGGCAGGGCCCTTACCTGTCTCAGCAGGAAGGAGACTACATCAGTGGATTCCCAGTAGCTGGCGTGGAAGAGGTGGGGCAGGGCCACGGTGGGGAAGGCCGTCAGTGCATCTGGGCAGTACAGCGCATAGTCAATGCGTTTTGGGCCCCACCACCTGGCTGCAACTGTAGAGGGAGGGGCCTGAGTGGGCGGGGCCAAACTCATCCGGTTAAGCCCCTCCCACCAAGGGCCGTGAGGCGGAGGAAAATCTGCAGCCAAAGCGTGTCTTCTGGGGGTGGGGGCAGGCGGGCTGGCCCCTCCATCCTGTGGCTGACCCAGTGTCCTGCCCAGCCCCTACTGCTGTGCTCCAGGCCATGCTTCAGTGAGTGCCCCCCCACGCCCTGCAACCCCACTCCACCCACTGGCCCAGGCCTCAAAGCTATGAAGGGCTTTCGTCCTGGGGAGGCAGGCCCTCCTGAGCCCAGCTCTGCTGGGTTGCTCTGTGCCTGGTGACCCCAGGCCCTGAGGGATCTCTGAGACCAGGCTGGTAGCCACTTGGCCTGAGGGATGGGCTCCGGAATGTTATCCTGTCCCTGCTCCAGCACACAGCATTTCCTTGACCCCAGAACATGCCCCCCCCATCCTGAGCCCCCAGCTCCCTAGTGCGGCTGCTGAGTAGGTGGGGATGCAGGTGGGTGGTGAAGTGTGCTTGGAAACAGTAAGTGACCCGGAGTGAGAGGGGACAGCGTGTGTGGCTGCAGGGCAGCAGGCCTGATACCTTCTCTGATGTCCAAGTCTGGGAGGTGGGCAGCCCTCTCCAGGTGGGGGCTTGGCTGCCCAGCCTGTAGGCGGGGCCTGGGGGTCGTGGGGAGTGGGGAGGGCAAGGCCAGCAGGGATAGACGCCTGACACTGGGGGTGTGGCTGAGTGGTGCAGGGGCCTCTGAGGAGCAAGAATGAAGGACATCTCAGCGCTGTAGGGCTGCCTGCTGCACAAGGGCACCCCCTGCCAAAGGCAGCTGGAGGGACAGACAGATGACAGCTGTCCAGGGTGGGAGAGGAGATGCTGTGCTGACCACAGGCACTTAGGGGCCCTGGACTGCTTCCAATGGCTGCAGGGGTACTCCTGGGTCAAGTAGGGCTGCGCAGCTAGTGACCCCAGCCATATCTCCAGTCCTGCTGCCCAGGCCCTCAGCTCTGTCGTACTCTCTGTGGCTGAGGCATGGGGAATCTGGACTCCTCTACCACCAGGGACTCTCAGCTGTCCTGGGGCTGCCCCTTCTCTCCTGGGGCCATTCTCTGTGGGGGACTGTCCTGGGCAACATCCCTGGTCCCACAGCAGCCCTGGCAGCCCTAGTCAGGAGGATCAAAAACAGCCCCAATCTCACCCCACCCAGGGGCGCACTGCCCGGCAAGCTGGCTGGCACTCACTCTGGGCGATGCTGGACGCTGTGTAGTTCTCGGCTATGCCCGACACCTGGCTGGCGATGCTGATCTCACTAGCTCGGCGGAAGCCACGGGTTGGGGGGGCCGTGCCAGGTGAGGAGGGGGCAGCAATCTCCTGGAAGACGGTGGTGTGGGTCTGGAGAGCTTCAGCTGTAAGAGGCAGGACGGAGTGAGCTCCGCTGGCTAGTGGGGTCCCAAGCAGTGGGAGGTAGGAGGGGGCCCAGGCCAGACCAGGAGCGCTGGCATCTGAGCGAGCGTGTAGGGGGTGAGAGGGCAGGCACAGGGCAGACAAGGAAGGAAGAAGGGCCTGGGGCATGGCTGGACAAACAGACTGACACACACAGCAGGTGGGGGTGGACCACTCTTCTCCCCCCACCGCTCTGCTCAGCACAGCTAGCTCTTGGGAAAGCACCCGGCCTGGCCTTAGCCAACTCTTCTGCCTGCCTTGCTGCCTCCCATGCAGGCCTGCTGCCATGGCTGAGTTTCTACGTGGGGCTCACCCAGGAACCAGAGGGAGGCAGCCCTGAGGCCACCCACTGGTCTGTCCTTCCAGGGCCTGCTCAGTTTGCAGGGGCGGGGGTGTGAAGGGGAGGGGTGAGGAGTTCTGAGCACCAGTGCCAGCCCCGAAAAGCCACAGCATCACAGGGGAGGGGACACGGGTACACACGCTCAGCACAGCCTGGGCCATGGTGGGGGCCATCCTGCCCGGAGGGCGTGGGCACAGGGATACTGGTTTCCAGAAAGCCATCCCCGGGCGGGATGGGGGCCAGGGAGCCGCCCTCCAGGACCAGCTCAGGGTGTCTCTGCACGCTCTCGACTGGAAGCAGACGTGAGGGGGAGAGAACAGGACAAGAACGACACTGTGTGGGCACCAATGGGGAGACCTACACACGTACACACTACATACAAGCATAGGCACACGTGCAGACACGCATCTACATGCACGCATGTGCACACACACACAGGATGCTTCTCACACCACATGGGGTGAACACAGTGCCTGATCATACGTGAGCTGGGTGGACGCCGTCGCGCCTCCTCCCCGGGGAGGGCTGGGGCCCAGCAGGGGGCCTGAGGGCCTTACCCAGCAGCGTGGAGCTGCCATCGCCCAGCGGGTAGCGCTGGTAGCGGGGGACACCGAAGGGCGGCAGGGCGTGGAAGCGGCGCTCAAGCAGGGGTTCTAGGCGCGAGGCAGATGGGTCGGCGGGGTGGAACAGGTTGTAAACTTGCTGGCAGGCGGGCCGCAGCTGGAAAACTGTGGTACAAAGGCAGGTGTTCAGAGGGCAGACCCTGGAGCAGGCTTTGCCCCAAGCCTGCAGGGCATTAGGGAGTGCGCTTCAGAGGCCCTGGGCCTGGGATCCTGGGACCCAGAAATCAGAACCTGTGTCTCGTTACCACGTTTCTTGCTTCCATGTTGTTGTGCGGGGCTGTGAGTCGATTTGGCCTCACAGTGACCCGAGTGCAGTGTGGAGCTGCCTGTTGGATGGGTGTCCTTGACTGGCATCTTCCCAAGAGCTCATGATCAGGGCTTTCTCCCATGAGTGGCTGAGACGTTGCCTTTCGGTCTGCAGTGGAGCACTTAACTGCTGTGCCACCTAGGCTCTGTTTCCTTTTGCTAACCAACTATCTTTGTTTTTTTCAATTGAAGAAGTTATAATGATGGGTTACAAAATAGCAAGACCCTCTCTTTAAAGAACCAAAAAGCTGGGGCCGAGAGGAAGGGTACAGATCTTTGGGGAGCCATCTGGTCCCCGGTGGCCCAGGGTTCAGAACCAGGGGGCTGGTATTCAGCTCACCCCCACAAAGCAGCGAGGAGGGTCCTGTGGGTGTAAGAATGCACACACTACTCACAGACTCTTTCCTCCAGCCAAAGGTCAGTAGCCAGAGGACCGGGTGCTCTGGAAAGACCCAGGGCTGCTGGGAGCAGAGGGCAGAGCTGGAGAACCTTATGCTGAGAGACCTGTGAGACGGGGGCTCCAGCGTGCGGCTAACAGTGATGAGGGGGAGGTCTGCCGGGGGCGCCAGGCAGAGGCAGAAGGAAAATAAGGGGTTTCCATGACTGGGGGGCAGCAGGAGAGGGGAGGCTTGCTTATGGGGCACAGCTGCCCTGTCAGTGCTGAACAAGCTGAAAACAGGAGTGCTGGTTGCCGCTCAAGGTGTAAGAGAATGAAAGCCAGAGACCTGTCGGCTGCAGCATGGGGCAACCTTATATTCCTACCGATTTCACCAGTGAGAATGGACAAAAGACCGGAGGTGATTGTCTCTCTGAGGTGAAGATGAGGGCGGCTTCGGCAAGATTGTGGAAAGCCCCCGGGAGTTTTAAATTGTGTTTTTTGCCCCATAGATTAAAAAAAAACTCTCCTTATACTGTGGTCACAAACGCAAACCTACCCCCAGGGACCCCTACCCGGAATGACCCAATTGGGCAGAGCAGAACTGCTCCCGAGGGTTTCCCAGGCTGCACATCTTTAAGGGAGCCTGGTGTTCTCCCGGGGAGCAGCTGGTGTATTGGAACTGGCAACCCTGAGATTAGCCGCCCGATGCTTAACCCACTGTGCTACCAGAATCCCTTAGCCTCTCTCTTTCTATGTCCAAAACACCAAACCCACTGCCAAGGACTCGGTTCTGACTCAGTGACCCTGTACAGGGTTTCCCGGGCTCTCTGCCTGCACCAGGGCAGGCAGTCTCCTCTTTCCCCTGAGGAGTGGCTGCTGGGTTTGAACTGCTGACAACCTGTGGTTAACCGCCTAGTGCCTAACCCACCGTGCCACCAGGGCTCCTAAATTATGCACATGTGCTATGAAATAGACCAAATGAAAAGAAAAATGTTCACAGTGGTGATCCTTGGCTAGTGGGGCCTGCGGAGTTTTTGTTCTTTGACCTGAAGCACCAAACTCAAAAACCAGGCTCACTGCCATTGAGTGGATGCCGACCTGTGGTGACCCTACAGGACGAGGTAGAGCTGCTGCGGTGGGTCTGAGACGGTCACTGTATGGGAGCAGAAAGCCTGTGTTCTCCTGTGGAGCGGCTGGTGATTGCCACCCGCTGACCTCGAGCGAGGGTAGCAGTAGAAACCGGAATGGGCCGTGTAGGCGGGTGCAGAGCCATGCTGTGAGGCTGCCTTCCCCCCCAGGCTGACACTGTGCTCTGCCTCAGTGCCTGTGTTTCTGGTCCTCTTCCCCTTTAGCTACAGGGTGGGGGAGGGGTGGCATGGGGGGAAGGGTCTTGGGGGATCCACAGCGTGGCAGGGCCAAGGTTCAGTTCCCAGCCGGGTCCCCACCCATAGACCACAAAGCACAGTGGAATGTCACAGTCCTGAGGCTGGGCAATACTGTAAGATCCTCTGGGGGAAACTTCCAGGGAGGGGAGCCCTGGTGACGGTGCCCGGCGCTCACACTGGCACCAGCTGGGTTGCCAGGACGCCCGCAAAGCCACAGGCTCCTTCTGCAAGCCATGACGCTGCTGCCGCCTTGCCTTAGACAGCTATCTAAACCACCTTGAGCCCCTTTCTCCTCTGTCCCCTGAGGCCCAGAGGGGTCCCCTGGGCTGGCTGGGTTCACGGGGCGCAGGGCAGGACACTAATGGACAGTGTCCTTGACCATGGGTCTGGCTTTCCTGTCCATGGGGACTGAGGTTCCTGCACCTTTTAAGGGTCCCTGGCAGCACATGGCAGGGGGGCTCCCTCTCCCTGCCCCTCCAGAACTGGGGCTCTGGATAGAAAGTGGTTCCCTGATTTTGGTGCTTCTCCTGTAGGAAGACTTGGGGAACGGGGGACCCTCTCTCCCCTGGACCTCATCTTCCCCATCTATGAAATGGGATATCATGGAGAGGATGGGAGACGGCAGGTGTGGGGCAGGGTGAGTGACCGGCTGAGGCGGGGGTGTGGGGGGAGCAGGCAAAGAAGAGCAGTGTGCGCTTGGGAGACCTGGCCTCCCATCGCCCCTGGGCCTCTCACCGTCCAGGGCAGGGATGACTGTCTTCCTCAAGGCCAGGACCAGCCCCAGTGGGCACCCGAACAGGAAGAGGTCTGCGATCTCAAAATCGAACCTGCCCAGAGACCCCGGGCCTTCCAGCAGGGTGGAGCTGCTTGAGCGGCGGGCGCCAGGCTCTGTCCTCAGCACGCTGGCATGGAGGCTATATTGGACGGGGCACAGAGGTCACTCCGGGCCCCTCCATCTGACATAGCTTACCCTCATTCTGCCCTGGCCTAATTGGGCCAGGGTGCCCAGTCAGTCCTGTCTGACTGGCCACCCTAGCCCAGGATTGTCAGCTCTGATTGACTCACGGGGTAAACGGGGGCCCCCCTCCCCACTATCATGCCAGGTAGAAATGCCAGTGTCCAGGCTCAGCCCCACCCCCCACCCCTGCACCTAGACAGGAAGGCCTGGTGCTGCTGGATGGTGTCCAGTTCGTAGGTGGACGAGTCACTCCTCTTGCGGGGCAGCTGCCTCTTGGGGTCCTCAGTGCCGTTGCTTCGAGGGATGTCGATGTTGCTGCGGCTCAGGTGCCGGCTGCTCTCCAGACTGGAGCCCCCGGCACCCCCGCCACCACTGGTGGAGCAGTGCGCTGCGTTCACCAGGATGCCCGGGGACAGGAGGTCAGTGTCCTGCAATGGGTCACACTGGTCACTGCAGGCAGGTGCTGGCCTCCCCATCCTGACCCCTGGGAGCCCCACCATTGGCCCCCTGCACAGTGGCCCAGAGACCAGCATACCTTCTGATGGCCTAAGCCCTGACAGCACAGAAACCTTTTCAGCCTCTGCTGACCCTATGACCTACGTGCTGTGGGGAGATTGGGATTTCAAGGCCACCCTCCCCCGCCCCCCCAGCATTAAGCCTGTCTGGTGGGCTTGGCCCCTTCCTTCCCCCATCCAGGTAGGACTGGGGACGGGAACTTGGGAGATGCCTGGTAAGTGAGCTGTCATCACTCGCTGTCCCCCAGGACCAGACTGGTACCTGCACACTGACCACGCTGCCCCGCCGGCTGCTGCTCCGGCTCTCACCCAGGACCTGGCTGCTTTGGCACAAGGCATCAAAGGCCAGGACGCCCCCGACGCAGTCCCCGATCAGGCAGACCTGGAGGCAGGGGTGGAGTCTGAGCGCCCATGTACTTGCCTGCTGAGGGTGGCCAACCCCTCTTCACTCACCTGCCCACTGAAGGTCACGCCCTCCTGGGACTTGATAAAGTCTCCATAGGCGATGTTGGCCCTCTGGATCACCGTGGCAACCGCCTCCTGGTACTGGGGTGAGGAGGTGGCCAGCAGGGGCAGTGCGGCCAGGGGGATGTGGTCCTGGCTGCTGGACAGACAGCCTTCGTCGTGGCTATAGGGGCTGAGGCTGGGGGGTAGAGGGGGCTGTCAGCTGGGAGGGGATGGCTTCAGCTCTACCCGAAGGGCTGCTAGCCACCCTGAGAGCCTCGGCCACAGACTCAGGCTGACACTGGGTAGGCAAGGGGCACAGGCCCAGTTGGGTGCTGGGACGGTCCAGAGCCTGAGGGTCTCACCAGCTCCACACAGTTTACACAGCACCTTACACTGCTGACCCGCATCCCCCACTCCCCATCCGGCCACCGAGCCATCAAACCCAGTGCTAGCGCGTCGTCCTAACTCCCATGAACCCTGTAGGGCAGAGTAGGACTGCTCACAGAGTTTTCAAGGTTGTCAATCTTTACAGAAGCAGACAACTGCATCGTTCTCTTGAGAGCGGCTGCAAGCTCTAACCACCGAGAGTCGGGTGGCAGATCAATGCTTAACCCACTGTGCCACCAGGCGAGCCACTTGAAACCAAACCAAACCCACTGCCAGCGAGTTGATCCCAACTCATAGCTACCCTACGTAGGTTTCCCAGTCTGAGTTTGGACAGGAGCAGACAGCCTCTTCGGGAAGACTCCCCCTCCCAGATAGGAAACTGCCCCTGCTTGGGCCCAGGGGCTGGATGCCTGGAGGCCCCTCCCCCACACCCTTCCACCCCCTGCACAAGCACATGAGGCTTAGGGCCACCTTCTCTCCCGGCCCAGGCAGGCCCACTCACTTGGAGACGAGGGCAAAGGCGTCGGCGCAGACGGGCGGGCAGGGCACTAGGCGGATGGCAAGGCGGCCCAGGGCGCTGGGGTAGTGCACACGCATGACCGTGTCGAACACCGTGGCCATGGTGCTGGTGTCGCCCTGCTTGGAGTTGGGGTCCCCAGTGCCCGTGTCCAGGATGGTGCCCCCGTGCAGCACCAGCAGCAGCACGTGCACCTTAGAGGGTGGCGCTGCCAGCGGCTGACCAACTTCATCCTGTGCAGGCAAGGGGCAGGGGTGGGGAATGGAAGGAACATCATCATGTCAGGTCCTCCGCCTCCTGGGGCCAGGCTGGTCCTCACTGTCTCCCCCCCAGCTGCCCAGCCCCTCCCCCAGTCCCTATCACTGCCTGTCAGCCCACCGGGGCACAGCCTACCCCTCTAAAAGGGCAGCACCATGCTGCACGCTGGCCCCAGGCAGGAGCTCCAGGCTGCATGCCCTCTGCTTAGGCTTTCTCTGCAGGGCTCGTCTGCTGGGCCACCAGCGAACAGCTGGGATCTTGGCTCGGGCAGGGAGACTGGCCCCTCTGCCTGCAGGTCTAAGTGCTTCCACCTGCATGGATCTGGGGGGCTTCTCTCCCAGCTCCCAGACCCACAGGACCCCTGTTCTGATATCTGTAAGACCCAGGGCCCTCAGGGAGTGATGTCCATGTGAGGGGAGGCCAGCCCCTAGGAACAGGGGTGAGGGGGACATTAAGGTCTCTGGATATCCTGTGGGAATGTCCTTGGCCTTTCTGTGAGGCCAGATACAGTCATAGCTGCATGAGGTTTGGGATTCTCCCTTTCAGAGAGAAAGTGGGGTGGGGGTGGGGGGAGGGAGGCCCAGAGGGGCCAAGGCACTTGGCAGGTCAGTGTCAAGGTCACCAGGAGCCCAGAGATCTGCGGCCAGCTCGTGCCCTCCCTGCCAAGCTCAGCTGCCACCAGGCCCAATGCCTTCACTCCCATGCCAGTTTGTAACTATGACCAGGGGAGAGGCTGGTGAGTTCCTGCTGAATCTGGTCAGGAGGCCTAGGGTGGGGTGGGTGGGGAGCAGACCAAGGACTGTGCTGCCCAGTGGGCCCAGAACAGGCACTAGGGGGTGGCAGGAGGGCAGCAGGCTCAGGGATCAGCTCAGAGGCGGGAGGCAGCCGGGGAGCGGGGGAGCGGGGACAGGACTGGAGGAAGAGCAAAAGGGCAGGGTTGGTGTTCAGTGGAGGCCCGGAGTGCAAGCCCTGGACAAGGCCTCCTGGGGGCTGCTGTTGCTGGCTTGGCCAGGAATATACTCAAAGCCCAGCTGCTCAGGGCTACAAGGCCATCCAAGGGACCTCAACACTGCCAGCAGGGACTCAAGTCTGCATCCAAGTCTGAACCCAGGGTGGCGGGCTTAGGGAAGCAGGGGTGTTGAGAAAATTCTCCCACCTTCCTTAGTCACCTGTTCTCTACATGCAAGGCCACTGTCCACAGCCCCAGGCACCTGCCTCTCCTGCCCCAAACAAGGGCTGCCTGGGGACAGCTCAAGAGTGTCCCTAACAGTGGTCCCGAGCCCAGGCTGGGAGAGACCAGCAGGCCAGAAGCAGACCAAGCTGAGGTTATCATAGCCATATGGGAGCCTGATGGAAGCCCGCCCAGAGGCAGGGCTGTGCCCAAGGGCTGGCTCCCCTTGGGGGAGTCAGGGTTGTGTGCACCTTGGCTGGGAGGGGCTTGCTATCTTGAAGCCACTGGGCAGAAATCAGAACCCAGCTCCCCTCACCCCTTAGAGTTTCTAGAAAAGCCCACCAAGCATCAAGTAGAAACCCTGGAAGGCGATGTGGATGCCCTCATCCCCAGTTCAGGGTCTCTGGAGTCCAGTGGCCAGGCCCTACCCCAGGCCAACAACTCTTGACGGCCAGGGGGAGGTGGAGGCTGAGCTCTGCAGCTGCATTGGACACACGGAGCCCCACCCACCTGTGGCTAGAACCACTGTGGCCCTCGCTGTTGGCAAGAGACCCCCAACCTCCCTTTTGGTCTGATGTGCAAGTTCCTCCTTTCACTACCCGCTCTCCCAGCGGGAGGCGGGCCTCTCCAGGTCTTTGCATCTCTGCCGTCCACTTTCCAGGACCCAGGGCCCTCAGGAGGACCAAGTACCAAGCAGATGGCTGGACTGTAAGGGGTCTGACATAACTGAGCACCCCCGCCCCCGCCAGGCACTCACCTCAATGATGTTTAGCTGTTCCACGCTGGAGGCCACTCTGAACCGGGGGGCGCTCGGCTGATACAGACCATCTGCAACACAGACGCGGATAAGTTTGGGCAGGGGGCCCAGGAGGTATCCAAGGAGGGAGGAGGGGGTTCTGGGGCTGGGTACACCCTGCCCTGCTGGTACCTGGCGCATCCTCGGCCTCCCGGCTCTCGATCTTGTCCATGAGGTCGTTGGAGTTCCACTTGCTGATGTCCTTGGGGAACATGTCCTCTGAGTCAGACAAGTCCTCTGCAGGGACAGAGAGAGGGGCGGTGGGGCTTCTGGGCAGATGCGGGCTGTGAGCCCAGGCTTCTGGAGGCCCTCAGAGTGGGAGATCCTCACTCGGGACCATCTGGCCTCGCTGGCCTGTGAGTCCCATCTGCGCTCCATTGCTGGCCCTCCCTTTCTAAGAGGCCCGAGGCTCGCCCGACACCTCGGGGCTGTCTGCTTCCTGGCCACTTTCCAGGGGCCAAGGAAGTTCAGCCTAATAAGTGTGACCCTCCAAGGTCCTGGGTCGGAGGCTGTCACCTGGAGCTGGCTTCCAGAGTCGGTATGGGGTGGTATCCAGCAGCCCCCAGCGCCCTTTCCCCTTCAGGCCTCTGGACACAGGCTCCACCCCTGGTCTTCCCTTCCTGCCCAGCCAGCCTGTCAGCTGGGTACCATCGTCTCAGCACCTCCACCCTATCCCCCAGCCCAAACCACAAGGGTAGCTCAAAAGCGTGCCTTGTCATGTACCTCTGGGCAAATCCAGACCTTTTGGAACCACTGTCCCGCATCGAAGACCTGGGGGGCTGCTTAGAAGGAGGCCTGTACTGAGTGAGGGCTGTGGGATGCCCAGGGACAGAGCACATGTTTGGCTTCTTTGGTGATTCAAGCTTACTTTGGAATAGTGGAGAACAGGCAGATTCTGTTTTCTATGGGCATTTCCTAAGGTTTCTATACTAGACGTGTGTCAATGAAGGGGAGAATAAGGTAATTACAAAAAGACATGAAGTTAAAATAAAATTAAGCTTCTGTGAAGCTCATAGAAACAAATCCACACCCTGAAAAACAAACGGGTTCTGATTATGTATCTATTTAAGGGGGTTGGTGTTTTGGGCCCCCACCAGCCAGGCCCCGCTGCTCATCGTGATATTCCCTGTGCCCGGGGAGGGGTGGCGGTGGTGGAGGTGGTGTGTCTGGAACCCAAGCCCTTCTAGACGCCTCACCTGTCCCAGAAGTGCCCCTCCCCACGGGGAAGCCTGCTTACTCACCGTGGGCGTCGAAGAACTCGTCATCGGAACTCTCGTCCGAGTCCCTGGCTATGCTCTGCATCCTCCACTCGGAGATGCTGTGGCGAGAAGGACTAGCTGGAAGGCAAAATCCAGACCACCCACTCAGCCTGCTGCCACGGGCAGCAGCTTCCCCAGAAGCCCTGCTCTGGAAGTCTAAGTGCTCCCCAAGCCCAGGGGCCAGGCCGGGAGCGCCATGCAGAGAGTGACCACAGGAGGGAGCCAGAGGCTGCCACGGACCTGAGGAGAGGACTTACCAAGACTCCAGGAAGTGCAATGAGCATCTGAAACCTTTTCGACACCACCCCTCCTAGCCTGCTGGTCACTTGCACCCCAGGAAGCATATGGGACATGGGTACCCAGAGAGTGGGCCATTGGGGAGGGGGCTTGTCCCGTGGTTTGCTTCCTGTATCTGACTCAGCAGAGCTGGCTGGGGGTGGGAGTGGCACATCCAGGTTGGCCAGACTGGAGAGAATTTATTAGATGAAAGTTGAAGAGCCATGCACTTTTGAGAGTCCCTGGGGCACAGGGCAGGAGTTTTTGAAGCAATGGAATATGGGGGGAACCTGGGTTTATAGAGGGGACTTCTGCTGGATCAGGTAAGAGCCTTCTTTCTAGAAGCCACAGTACATTCCCCAGCCTCCGAGAAAGGCCATGTTTGGGGATCTGGAGCCTGCTCCCTGAATGAGGAGCTGAGCGGCCCTGCCCATCCTGCCCCACCACCTACCCTCATCCCAGCCACCACCTGGCCAAGGCCCCGGAGAGGCTGGGAGCTGGGGCTGGGGCTCTCACACAGCCCAGCCAGTCTCACCCTGGGCTGTACGGGGGAGTCTGGGGAGCTTGGCACTGAGGTAGGGGCTAGCCTGGCACTGAGTTGGAGAGAGAAGGTTCTGGCTCCCTACAGGTTATTTCCTAAATGTTGCTTCGGGGTTGGCTGTCTGGACAGGGCAGGCTGTATGAGAGAATTGGGGAGGGTTTGGTCACCTGGTGCACAGCACAGAGCAGATACCAGTTGGGGGAGGGGACATGAGAGAAGCACTCAGGGTCTTTGTGAATCCCAATTCTCCCCACCAGCGGTGTGGGGGGCCTAGGAGATTTGGGCTGGCATGTGAGCTCACCTCCCCGCTTGGATGAGCGAGATGACTTGGAAGATGTGGACCATTGTTTCTTCAGTCCTCGTCCCGCCAGGGGTTCCCCGCTGCTGCTGCCGTCACCGCCAGACTCGGGCTCCCCAGAGACCTGGTCCTGGACGCCTTCGTCCTTGGACAGCTCCGTGGCTTCCTCGTCCTCGCTGAACTGGGCCATCTTGCGGGAGAGCACCAGCTGCGCCTCCTTCTCCAGCTCTCGGATGTTCTCCATGCTCAGCCCGAACCACTCATCCTGCCAGCACCACGCCTGCCGGTGGGCCCGCACCATCACCCTCCGCAGGCCTGCAGCCCCCGGCCCGAGGGGCAGCCAGACAACAGCGGGCAGGGGTGGGGTGGGAAGACACACAGAGACAGAGAGAGGCAGGAGTCAGACCAGAGCTGGTTCAGCGCATCTGGGCCTGGCCTGTGCCGGGTTGGATGCCAATGCTGCCAGCTGGGCTATGATCCACCAGCTGAGTGGCCTCCAGCCAAGACTGGAGCCTCAATCTCCCCTCCTCACCCATGCCTCAATTTCCCTTTCTGTAAAACGAAGGGTCTTCTCAGTGGCAGCTCCCAGGGAGTTATAACTAGGATAGAAGAGCCTTGTGTTTGATCAACACTTCGTCCTGGGGAGGGGAGTCCCTGCCCCTGGGGGCAGGAGGTGCTACTGGCATGGGGCCTCCGAGAAGACCCTTGTCTCTGTGTCTGGCATTTTCCCTAACTTCCTGTCGAAAATCAAGTATAGACCAAGTTGGCCCTACTTTAAAAAAAAGTTGTTTTCACATAATATACATGAAAAATATAAAGCAAAATATTTAAAGCATATAGAATATGACTTTTAAAAATAGGATCTGAGTGCTGATCAGTGAGTTGCCCTGGGCTGTGGGTGGGAGTGGGCGAACTGCAGACAGGAACAAAGGCAATTTCTGGATGCTGGGGACGGTGGTACAACTCTGTGAGTGGACGGGACTCACTGAACGGCACTCTCACAATGAGCAAGTTCTAAGGTATGGAAATTCTTGCTTCAAACTGTCATGGCCACACTGCCCAGCTAAGAAAACGAGCAGCCACCCAGCCTCCGCCCCAGAAGAGTATCTCCCCTGAATTTTCAGTTGGCCGTTTGTTTTTCTTTATGGTTTTCCCGCCACACAGGCTTTGGAAACACGGCGATCGGGCTGCCTGTGGTGGCCGTGCACACCGTACTGCCGGTCACTTGTTTCTGGGGAGGCTCACTCGCACCTGTGAGACTCCGGAGTGTGCCAGCTCACTGTGTGCGGCTGTTAGCCCCACACACCACACCGAATGGACTCTCCTTCACTCGATGGGCCTCTAGCCCATTTTCCTGTTCTAAACGGACTGCTCAGAACAGTCTGGACCGTGCCTGGTCAGCTCCAGGGCCAAATCCGGGAGTGAAATCGCTGTGTCTCCGGCCCCTGCCCTGGAGCCTCCTTCGGCTGGATGGTATGTGTGGTTGCTGCTGAAGTCCTGAGGCTTGGCTTCAGATGAGCCACTGGGGGTCCAGAACCTCAGATTCCTGTTCTGAGCCTGTCTGCTGACCTCATAGGGCTGCCAGGAAGGGTGAGGGCCCCCTACTCTGACACGGATTTGAAACCGTCCCCTCTTGGAGTGAGGGACCTTGGTGGCTCAATGGTTAGAGTGCTCTACTGCTACCCAGTTCAGCTGTTCCAATGCCCTCTCTGCTTCCCTGAAGTTTACAACCTAAAGCCTGTGACATCTGTCAGCAGATAACAGGCAGAGGTGAGCAACACCACCACCAAGGAGGCTGGCAATCCTAAGAACACCTCCCCGCCCCCCAACCCCCGAGGTTCTAAGGGCAGCCTTTGGCCCAGGACCGAGCTCGGAGGCAGGAAGGGACAGGGCAGACCGAGAATGACAACCACTGGCCCAGAGAGGAAGTGGGAAGAGCTCTGCTAGACCGTGGGGCCTGCCCTCAATGTCACGAGACACACTGTGGGCAGGGCGTTGATGGAGAACTTTCCCTCGCATCATAATACACGGTTCACAAAGGGAAAAGGACAGGCCAGGAAGCCCTGGGCAGCTCTGCTCTGTCCTCTTGGGGTCACTGGGAGTCACGATCAAGTTGATGGCGGTGGATTTGGGTGGGCTGGGGGCTCAAACAGCTGGGACACAGCTATATGCCCATGGCCAGGAAGTAAGGAGGACAGCTGAGACCTGCACCCTGAGGACCTGGGTGGTGCAATTAATGCCCCCGGCTGCTAACCACCGGTTCACGCTCACCCAAAGGCACCTCCAGACAGACGTGACCGAGTGAGAGCGGACATTACAGCAACAGCCTCATGGTCTCTCCAAGGCCACTGGAGGAAGGCTGCCCAGTCTGGTCACTTGAGTCTGCAGATGACGACTCTGGGGTCACGTTCAGAGTGACAGGTGCTTCCTAAACCACATGGTCTCCTCTCATCTCCCTTGCAGGTTCCCCATTTTACAGATGGGGAACGTGATGTCAAAGAGGGATGGAGATCTGCCTGCGGCCACAGTGCCTCTGAGTAGCAGGGTTGGGGCGGGCCTGAGAAGTGGTGTCCTTTCCACCAGCCCCATGCGCCTTCTCTCTGGGGGAAGAACTGCCATTTAAGGGTTTTTTTGGGGAAGGGGCTTAGGGTGGGGAGAGAAGGTGTCTTTACAGCTTGGCCAGAGCCCAGAAAAGCTTTCAGGAGAAGGCGGGACAAGTTGATGCCTGTTGAGCTTGGTGGAGCTGCAACAGGAAGGAGTTGTGGCATTGCCACCCCCCAGATAAGTTAAGGCGTTGCCTTCTTCCCCCATACCAGCCCAGCCCCTGTTGGCCATCACCATAGAGCTCCTGGGGGCCAGGGGCTGAATTCTGCCCAGACTGAGCTGGCTCAGGCCACCCCTGCCACCCTCTCCAGCTCCAAGTCTCTGCCACCAGAGGGGCCCCACTCTGCAGTATATGACAACCAGACCCTGGGGGCGGTCAGGACAGCCCTTGTCCCAGATGCCGGGACTGCTTGGGGCAGTGAGGCTGGAGTGGGGGTGGGGGGCAGGCAGGAGTCCTGGGCCCAGCTCAGATATGCTTCTGACTTGGGCCTCCCCAGTGCTTGTCACACGGGGACATGCCTGTGCCCTGGGTCATCAGGGTTCGTAGAAATCCACTGTCGATGGTGACTGTGTATGTCTGATACGGTGTAGCTGGGTTGGGGACAGGCCCTTGGCACCAGCGTCAAGGGGCTGGTCACCAGGGAAGAGGGAGAGTCTGGGTGAGGGGAAGCTTGCTCAGCACTGTCTGGGCCAGAAATTCCAGGCCATCTCTCGGCCATCTCTCGGCCCGGCCCCTATCCTAGCACTTCCTCTGGGTCTGCCCAGCACGGCTCTGAAGGACACACCACACTGTGTCCCAGCTCCTAACCCTTGGACTTTCCAGCCCAGTGAGAAGGGGTCAGCTGGGGGCAGGTCCTGGGTTCTGGAATCCTCAGAGAGAAATATACTCTGTCCCCAGGGACTTCTCCCCAGGGTGGGTGCATGCTGGTGTCAACTGTGGCTGAGCAGATTCTGAGTCCTGGTAACCTCATGCATGGAGAGTTAGGTCTGCATGCCGAGATGTGGTGGAAGCCGGCTGCCAGGCCTTTCTTCCAAGGTGCCTTTCTCTGGATGGTTTCCAACTGCCAGTCTTTCAGCTAGCAAGCAAGCACTGAATCACCTGCATCGCCAGGGATGCTGGCTGAGCTTACACAAGAACTAGGTCTCAGTCTCTGGAGGTGGGAGCCACAGCAGGTGCTTGCTAGCGCTGAGGCGGGCAGAGAGAGGGCACAGTATGGGGCGCAGGGCCTCACCAGTATCATGGATGAACCGCTCAATCTTGGACTGCATGCCCCAGTAGCGGAACTCCACCTTGCAGAGCTTGTAGGCGCACATGAGGGGAAAGACACGCTTCTTGTACTCTTCGACCCAGTTGTCAGACAGGGGCCCCCGCTGCGTCTTGGTGGAGTGGAACAGCTTGGGGTCCTCTTCTGTCTTGTACTCATTGGGGGGCACGGGGTCCTTGACAATGTCGATGAAATCTGTAGGGAGACCATGAGAGTGGCCACTCCTGCCTCTGATCAACCAGCTCTCCAAGTCTTCCCACCCCAAGCTCCTCCAGGGGGGCTGTGTTTGTCCCCCAGCTCAAGCTGCCTGGAAGCCCGGTCCACGGGCTAGGTCACCTCTCTAGGACAGGTGTGTCCCTTCTGAGACACCTGGCTGATAGCTTCCCTGCCTGGGGCCTGGGGATGTGGGTGGGATCCCCAGGGGTCTCCAAGTTGCACCCCGGCCGCTGCTGAGCTCAGTGTGACCTACCTATGTCCCTTGTTTGGTGGCACATGGTCATTTAAAAATTCCTGAATGTGTTGTCCGGGAGCCCCCATGGTGCAGAGGGCTCGTGTGCTGCTTCCTGAAAGGCCAGCTATTCTAACCCACCAGCCGCCTGTTGGGCTCTTGTACCAGTTATGGCCTCAGAAACCCAAAGGGCAGCTCTTCTGTCCTGGAGGGTTGCCAGGAGTTGGAATCAACTCTAGGGCAGTGGGTTTTTAATCTTCCGTCAGCATTTAAACATCAGGACATTTCACTCGGCAACCCCGCTCTTCTGCTTCTTCGCAGCAAAAAGAGTTTGGGAATGAAGCTATCTTTTTGAATGACAGAAGTCAGCTGGGGGTGGGTGGTTGGGCGAGGAGAGGCTGCCTGCCACTGAGGGGATGAGATGCCCCTGCCATTGGCCACAATCCCCACCACCTGTTGCCCTTACTCGTGCCCTGTTCTCACCGGGAGTGGGCGCCTTTACTCTGTGACCACTTTCACACCTCTGGGCGCCTCAGTTTGCGTGTCAGGAGAATGGGGTGAGGATACCTGTCCTCCTCCCTCCTGGTGCCATGCTCGGCCTCTGGCTGTCCCCCCACCCCCACCCCCAGCGGGTAGAGCCGTGAGAGTGAGGACCAGGGCTGTACCGATCATCAGCTGGTTCTTTTCCACAGGAGAAAGGCTGAACACGTTGGCATTTTCACCAGCATCGGTTTTGTAGAAGGTTTCGATGTCGATGGAGAATTTCTCCACGAAAGGGCAGGTGAACCTGTGGGAGAAGGAGGGCCTGGGCAGGAGCCACCACATACTGCAGCATGGGACAGACGGTCAGGGCCTTGGGGCTACCCTGGGGGTGGGGGGGCTCTGGTCCTGGTGGGGTGCCTGGGAGGGGACCTGGAACACTCCTGTCCCTCCCACCTCCTGGGCCTTCACCTTGTTCCAGAACAGCCAGGGTGTGAGGGTGGGCTGCGGGGACACAGTACAGAAAGCAGGCGGTCTGCCCTGAGCTGCTTCTAGAAGGCCTGGTGCTCGTATCCTGGGTATAAGTACACTCACAAACGGTAGGGCCGAATCTGCCCCCAGCTTCCAGCTGGAGACAAACTTAGAGGGCAGGGGGCTGCTGGGAGAGCAGGTGTATGCCAGCTGGCTAAAGCCCTTTATGTAGGGGAGACCCCACCTGTCCTGTCCAGCATGGTGTCACCATACTCCAGGGTGGACACAAAGTGGAGAGCCCTTCTGGGGAGAGAGAGCCAAAAGGGCACCTGCTCAACTAGGGGTGTCAGGAAATGCTGGCACAGCCCATGTCCCTAGCTCCGCCTCCTGTCTTCCAACAGCTCCCTGTCCAGCTTTTTTCTTGGGGAACCTCACATGCGTTTGAACCTCCTAACACTGCTGGAGGGCAGAATGTTGTGCAGACAGTCCCCCTGTCCCACGGCTTGGGGAAACCTGGGGTTCCCTGCCCACAATGACCTGATCCAAGCATGAAAGGCCCAGGGTCCCCGCGAGTCAGCGACTCACCTGGTCCGGGTGTAGGGGTAGGCGTTCCAGGACTCCTCTACCACGCGCAGGGCTGCTTTGGGCAGGATGGAGCGGAACCAGCTGGGGATGTGCATGCCCACGTGGTACACCTTGTGCGTGTACTGTCCGGAGCCGCCGGGGCCATCCGAGTATGGCCGGTTCTCCAGGATCTCCACGCCACTGCCTTCGCCAAACGTCTCGTTGCGGCTTTTCTTCTGCAGAGACAAAAGCCCACTCCAGAGGCAATCCCAGAGGGCGCCTGGGCCGGGGGCTCACGGCAGAAGGGGCGGGTTTGCAGGAAGGGCAGGGGAGTGGAAGGGCTTTGACACAGAGGTCCCTCCACTGGGTACTTCTCAGGACAGTCCAGGCCCAGGGTCTGAGAGCCCCAAGTCTCGTACGCGAGCTCCAGAGAACCACGGAGCTCTAGACTCCAGCACCACAAATGGTGTCCCTGAACCCGCCACCCAGGATGTCTTTTTGGGGTGATGAGGCCGCTCCAAAGCTGACTGTTGATGCGTGCGCAGCTCTGAGCGACCAAGGAAGGTGAAACTGGGGTGTACAAGATTGCTGCTGTCACCCCAAACAAAAGAATGCCCTGCCTCGCATGCCCACGAACACTGTGGGAAGTGAGAGGGGGCCTGGTGGCAGTGACTGACTTTTGACGTCTGGTCACTGCTGGGTGGCTCCGCCGTGACTACTCAGCTCAGTCTCCCAAAGCTCAGGTTTATGCTCAGGCAGAAAACCGGATTCGTGGTGCCTGGCGACTGACTGTAAGCTCGGCATCCGTCTCCATGGTGACATGACGGCATCACCAAGGGCATCTTCGGTCAGCTTCTTGAACAGCAGGTGCACATACTCCCACCCGCGCCGGCACACCCACGCACAAACATCTGCATGCACACACCATCACACACCCATGTGCATGCTGCTCCCAGACTTGGCGCCCCCCTCACTCACACCCACACCCACACCCACCCACAGATGTATGTGCACACGCGACACTACCAGCAGCATAGCCCTGCCCTGCCTGGCTGGACTCTCCCTAGGGTGTGATCTGCATTGCTCTTCCCTGGCTCCAAGTGGCCGAATCCCCTCACAACAGATGAGGCGCATGGGCAAGGCAGAGGCAGGGTCTTCACACCCTGGCTTCATGGGGTGCCTGCCCAGAAGTTGCAGAGAAGCCCCCGGCGGCCCAGGCAGACCTTGGCCTGAGTCTCTGTCCGGTCCAGTGGGCCAGCTGGGTAGTACCCATGACCACTTCGGGGAGTGTACCTGTTTGTCCCACTGTATCTGGGGCTTCTGGCACCCATCCACTCATGGGAGATGGATGTGGTGGGTCTGCTTGGAGACTCAGAGGTCACAGTTAGCCCCTAGCTGGACCCCTGAGGCATCCCAGCAGAGACGGATGGGTAAGCTTGGTTGCATGACTAGGTGTCATCTGTACCCCTATGTCCACACTATGGAGGGATGGGAAAGGCAGCCAGACCCCCAAACAGAGAAGGCACCCAAGAGACGGCACTCAGTGATTCTCTCACGGCTCACAGAGTCAATGGTGTGACTCTGCTTCCTGCCCGGGCCCTGCGGGCTGCTGAGAAGGGTCCCGCTGTCTCAGGACTGGTGTGTAGAAAGCTCCAAGGTGTCTAGCTCTTCAAATCCACGAGGCTCCAGGGTGGGGCAGGGCAGGGCCCCTTCAGAGCTGTCCAGGGTCCTGGCCTTCTCCCAGCTTCTTCTTCTGGGCATGGAGATGGTGTGCAAGACAGGCACTGGCTGGGCCTCCGGCCTGGGCTCGCTCCCCCAGGAGCAACTTCACAGAGGTGGTAGAGGAGGCCCTCAGTCAGCTCAGAGCACAGCAGGTCAGCGGCGACAGCCATGGGAATTGACCCCACATCCCCCAGGCCTGGCCGTCCTAAAGCCCAGCTCAGATCGGGGGACAGCATGGGGGCCCACCCCCAGTTCTGGGCCTTCTGTAAGGGGGCTGTGTGCATGGTGGAAGCTCCTGGGGACACCAGCACTTGCATCAACTCCATCCCCAGCCCCCAGCACAAAGGAAGGAGGACACAGGGTGGGGGCAGTGAACTTGCCTTTGTTTTCAGATGAGTATTAGATGGTGTTCCCCAAACCTGTGTCAGAGTCCCTACACCTGTACCTCTGTCCCAGCTGGGAAACTAGTTCCTTGGCTATGTTAAGGAGGGCTTTCCAGAGCAAGGGGGCCTCAACCTGATCACTGCTGAGCTCGAGCAAGGGTAGAACCGACAGACAAACACACGGGACCCCCAGGGGCTACCATAATGAAGGACCTCACCCTTAGTGTGCACTTCCCTCTTCAAAGAGCCCTCTGTTCTCTGCAGCCCCCCGCCCTACCCCGCCCCATGGCACTGCTGTACAGAGCCCCTCAGATTCAACAAGCATTTGATACACACTGTGACCAGTTCTGACACATGTGCCCCATGAGGCTGGAGTTGGGAGGTCAGGCCTGTGGACAGACAGTGGAGGGAGAGGTGCTGGAGTGGAGCAGGGCATCCTGGGAGCGGCAGGATCTCAGCACAGGCTGACCACGGTGGGCAAGTGGGTGTCCGGGGACAGGTCCAGGGCCACCCTCCCCTTTCTGCTCTGCCCTCTGGCCAGTGACCTGATGCTCAGGGGGTGGGAGAGGGGAGAGTTCAGCAGTCTGTCCCTCATAGGACTGCCTCCTCACCTCTAGGGCAGCTCTTCTCCCTTAGCATGCCCCATGGCCAGCAAGTTTCCCATCTGTCCCATGGGGAACTGGCCCGTAGGAGTTCTTTCCTGGTGGGTGTTCCACAGGGCGCTGGCTTAGGCAACAGGGAACTATGCTGAAGCTCACGCATGGCCCCTTCACCAGCAAAAGTCAGTCAGATACAAGGGACCCAGTCTCAGAGGCAGCCGCACCCCACCCGCCTTCCACTCCAGCCTAGGCTTGTGGACCTGCAGGGGGCTGGGCAGTCCCTGAAGACAATACCAGGGGGCTTCTAAAGGTTCGTGAAGAAATGGGATATTTCCATTTCCGCTTATTGGGGTCTGGGATTTGCGGACACGCAAGCTGCTGTCCTGCATGGACAGACATGGAGTCCACACTCAGAGCACAAGAAGTGGCCGAGTGGACGGGCCAGAATCCCTCTGTGCTGTGGGGGCTGAGAAAGACCAGGGTCCAGGGGCTGGAAAGACATATACTGTGACCACCAGATCACCAGGCCTCTCTATGGCAGAAACGCCAGCCAGCAGAGGCCTCGGGCCCAAGACAGCACTGCATCCAGTTCTAGGGAGCCTCCAGGGCCTCGCCCAAAGGCTGCCGCGCCACATGCACTCTTCCCCCTCCCCCCAATCCTCACCAGGGGTCCTAAGGACACCAGGAGTAGGCCGGTGGCTGAAAACCTCCCTCCACCAGAAGTACAGAAGCAGGCTTTAGAAGCACCCTGGTGCTGGGGTTGGTCTTCCTGCACAATCTGATATTAGCATACATGAAATGATGAAACGCTCGGTGCTCGGTGCTGACCCCTCTGCCCTGGGAGTTCCAAGGAGCCCAAGGAGGAGCTAGCTGGTTGGGCTGGCTGACATGGGGTGGGAAGGGGAAGGCGGTGTAGGAGGCAGAGCAGACAGGAGCCCCAGAGACCCCTGCCTGGGCACAAGGGCCCTAGGAACAACGAGGGCAAGTAGCTCAGAGGAGCCACGTGACACAGAGTGCCTCAGCAAACAGCCCTCTTGGGAACTTCTGCCAGGGCTGTCCAGAGGGCTGGCTGTCAGCATTATCACTAAGTCCCCTGGCTGGGTTGAAGGTGGGATGTGGGGCGAGGGCCTGCTGGATGGGTGCTCCCCTTCACTGATAGCCCAGTCAGGGGGCTCAGCAGGGAAGGCTAAGCCTGCCTCTCATCTTGAGCTGGAGCTACCACTCTGGGCACAGGGCTGGTGGGAGAGCAGGAAGGACTCCCCCAGTGAACAAGGGCCCAGCCGTGACCCCCAGTGGAGAGAGAGTGTGCTTATGTCAAGCCCGGGGGAAGGCCAGCCTCTAGGGGCAGCCAGCCGGGAGGGACCCACCTGGATCATGTAGAGCTGGGCGATGCGGTACTCCTCCACGGTCATGGGCAGCGGGATCCGGTACTCCTTTATGATCATCTTGGAGCCCGTGCCTTCCCACGGATGGGAACTGCACGCTGGGGACTGCTAGGCAAGCTTCCTTAAGCCACCATGACCGAGCTCACCAGGGACCCCTGCAGACAGAGGAGGGCAGCGTGGTCACTGTCTGTGAAGCCTGGTGGGGACAGTGACATAGACCCAAGGTTGGCACCCCGTGCGTGGCTGGCTCCACAGGAGCCAAGGGCATGACCTTGAGAAATGCCCATCCCCCTGCAGTGGCCCCCCGGCTTGAGTTTGCTTGGTGTCTTTTAGTGTGGCTGGGAGGCCAGGATCGGTGGGTGTGCAGCCCCCCCTTACGGGGAATCTCAGGCTGTTCATTCCCGCACACCGGCTGCAGGAAGGCTCGTGGCTCTTGCTCCACTTACAGAGCTAACCAGCTCTCGGCGCGCGATGGAGCCGAGAGGCTGGAGGCAGTATTCTGCTACTGGCCCTGGGCAGGACAGGAGAAGAGCACACGTCAAAGAAGAATCACCTACAGCAGCGGTTCTCAACCGTCCTCATGTCGCAGCCCTTTCATACAGTTCCTCATGTGGTGGTGACCCCCCCAACCATAAACCTATTTCCGTTGCTACTTCATCACTGTCATTTTGCTACTGTTATGACTTGGGTGACCCCTGTGAAATGGCTGTTCAACCCCCACAGGGGTTGCGACCCACAGGTTGAGAACCGCTGACCTAGAGAAATACATGATGGCCTGAGGCAAGTGGATCTCTGCAGACTCCAGGAAATTAGAGATAAAGTCAGCTTACAAACTGTCAAGAGCAGGGGGTAGAAGCAAAAAGACCCAGGAATGTAAAAGAGAAATGATGTCAACAACAGGATAAAAGATGAGCTGGCAGAGCAGAGAACAGCACATGGAAAGAGAAATAAAAAATATCACAGGAATTTTTAAAAGCTATTATTATAGAGCAAAAAAATAAATAGAAAAAGTACAGCATAAATAACCCGAGTCATATAGAGAGGTTTGAGGAAATCTCTCAAAAATAAATGGAACATGGCCAGCCCCATTATGAGACATGACATCTCTCACTGACCCAGGGCCCTACGAGGGACAACACTGGAGACACAGTGTGGAAATGGTGCCCGATCTGACCCCACCACACCGAGGCAAAACACTAAGGGTGTGCAACAGAACAGCAAGGGGAACAGAGCAAGGAAGTCCTGAGGCAATACCAAAAATAGACTTTGGGGCCAGGCGTGGCACCCCATCAGACTACTTGAAAACACTCCTAAAGGTCAACAAACAGACCTTGAACTATTTACAGGATTTCCTTTTTTTCCTGTCATTGGTTTTTTGTTGTTGTTATTGTTGTTTTGTTGCTTTGTTTTGCTTTGTCTTGGTTTTGTGTATATTATTATCTCTGCATGTCTATCTAGATAAGATAGGCAGGATAATAAACAATCTGATGGAGAAAACGGGACTGACAGTTCTGGGGGGACATGGGAGGGGGGGCGGGGTGAAAGGAAGTGGGTGTTAATAAACCCAGGGACAAGGGAACAAGTGATCCAAAAATCGGTGGCAAGGAGGGTGTAGGAGGCCTGGTAGGGCTTGATCAAGGGCAAAGTAACCGAGAGGAATTACTGAAACCCAAAGGAAGGCTGAGTGAGCATGATAGTGGGACAAGAGGAAAGTAAAAGGAAATAGAAGACGGAACTAAGAAGCAAAGGGCATTTATAGAGGTCTACATACAGGCATGTACATATATGATGATGAGGAAATAGATCTATGTGCATATATTTATAACTTCAGTATTAAGGTAGCAGATGGACACTGGGCCTCCACTCAAGTACTCCCTCAATGCAAGAATACTTTCTTCTATTAAA